CGGCTCTTTCTAGCTCGTAACCGGCGGACCGAGTCCGGCCTTTAATGCCTCAACGGCTCCTTGTCTTAACTTCTTCGGAGGCTCCCTCAACGGCTCTCTGCATTAAGTCTTTCCTTGGGCTGGGCCCGGACCGACTCCTCGTCTCCGGCCCATGCTCAGGTTGGGTCGTCCTTCATAGCCCTGGCCTGGGCCTTCCATTTGGGCCTGGGCCGACTCCTGGACTCGGCCCACACACTCTCCAGGCCTGCCTCGTGTCAGCCCATTCTTCTCTCTGGTCTTTCCTCTTTGGGCCCTCTTTTCTTGGGCCGGCGTTCTCACCCCATCACATATATGTGCAACGTATGCAACATCTTCGGAAAATTAAGAGGTATGAAGATCCCGGATATCAAGCAAATATAGGAGGAAAATATATGCATTATGTACACGGACGAATACAAGGAGCCTAAAAACAAAGATAATTAATAAAGTGTGAAATTGAGTATGTAAATTAAGCATACGGGGCCATTAGTGGTGAAGTGGCGGACTCTAGGCACGAAAAGAAATAGTGTATAAAAGGTCCATAATGCTAGGTGCACAGATGCTGGTATACAAATTAAGAAGGGAGGCAGAAGCATGATGGAAATATTAAGGCATGAATGTATACATGGAAATGTCTAGTGAGGGGAAAGCATGCCGATTTGCGAGGCCGACTCCTATAGTCTGACCGAGTAGGTCCGCCCATTCGCGCTGGGCCGACCACTCCGTGTCGGGCATTGGATTATCCGTCCAATCAGCTTCAAGGCCGACTCCTAGAGTCTGACCTAGTAGGTCCGCCCATTCGCGCTGGGCCGACCACTCCGTGTCGGGCATTGGATTGTCCGCCCAATCAGCTTCAAGGCCGACTCCTAGAGTCTGACCGAGTAGGTCCGCTCATTCGCGCTGGGCCGACCACTCCGTGTCGGACATCGGATTGTCCGCCCATCTAGATTCAAGGTCAACCACCGAGCGCCCGGACCTTGGGCGGTTGACCCATCTGGTTATACGGATAGAAGATGAAGAAGGAGGAAAATTGCAAACATACAAAAAGTACCAACGATCTCTCCATGGCCAGTGAAAATAATAAAAATAGAAGGGGTACATATGTTGCATACAATATGGGAGCACGACTCGGCATGGAAATTTAGTGGCAGAAAATACATTCCAAAAGGTTGCACATGGAATTTCTCATCTACAAGGGGCTATATAAAGGGAAGGAAAAGTAAAGCTACAACCGAGAGTCGCTTGAGTTAGTAAAAGAACCAAGAGTCCGAGAAGTTTACTTGGAAAAGAAGAATCATAGCCAGGACTCGCCTCGAGCAGGGACTCGGCGAGAGAAAAAGAAAAGATAGAAAACAAGGGTCCAGACCCTTAGACGTTTCCGAGAAAAAGCCTACAGGAGTCGCCTCGACTGAGGGACTCGGCGAGAAAGTAAAGAAACGACGGGGCACTGACCCTAAACTGTTTCTAAGATAGAAAAAGCCTAAAGGGTCGCCTCGACTAAGGGACTCGGCGAGAAAAGATAGGAAACAAGGGCCCAGACCCTTAGACGTTTCCGAGAAAAAGCCTACAGGAGTCGCCTCGACTGAGGGACTCGGCGAGAAAGTAAAGAAACGACGGGGCATTGACCCTAAACTGTTTCTAAGATAGAAAAAGCCTAAAGGGTCGCCTCGACTGAGGGACTCGGCGAGAAAAGATAGGAAACAAGGGCCTAGACCCTTAGACGTTTCCGAGAAAAAGCCTACAGGAGTCGCCTCGACTGAGGGACTCGGCGAGAAAGTAAAGAAACGACGGGGCACTGACCCTAAACTGTTTCTAAGATAGAAAAAGCCTAAAGGGTCGCCTCGACTGAGGGACTCGGCGAGAAAAGATAGGAAACAAGGGCTCAGACCCTTAAACGTTTCCGAGAAAAAGCCTACATGAGTCGCCTTGACTGAGGGACTCGGTGAGAAAGTACAGAAACGACGGGGCACTGACCCTAAACTGTTTCTAAGATAAAAAAAGCCTAAAGGGTCGCCTCGACTGAGGGACTCGGCGAGAGAAGAAAAGAGAAAAGAATCAAGGGTTCCGACCCTAAGACGTTTCTAGAGAAAAAAGAAAATATGCCAGGGTTCCGACCCTTAGACATTTCTTAGAGGGAAAAGAAGCTACCACCGAAGAGTCACCTCGACTGAGGGGCTCGGCGAATAAAGAAGGAATTGAGGGTCCGAGCCCTTAGAAGTTTGTTAGAGAAACGTTACAGCCAAAATTCACTTCGACGGCTAAAGAAAAAAAAGGGGCTCGAAGTCAGAGGGTCACATCCACTGAGGCAGTCGGTCATATGGCAAACGAAGAGAAGTCATGAGGATGGAGTCGTGTGGAATCTTGAATAAAAGAGTCGGCAAAAACCGAGGGGGCTAATAAAGGGAATTTTGAGGCAAGACAATATACTTTTCCATGCCCTGCTAAGCGCGAGACATAGAAAAGTGAGGGACTAGTTGATGGGGTGTGAACCCCGTGGGCTCAGGGCCCAAGAAGAAAATAGATAAAGCCCAAACGAAGAAGAGAAGCCCAAGAAGAAAATGGAGCAAGCCCAAAAAGATACGAGCCAAACCGAGGAGTCGGCTCGACCCAGAAGTCGGCACGGGTAGGAAGTCGGCCTAAACTAGCCGTTAGCCCATTTACTACCTTATTATTACCCCACTTATTACCACTAGTCAATTATCTAATTATTATTATTATTATCCATAACCCCCACTTAAACCCTTACTTACTACCCTAATTATCACACATCAATAACCTACTAAATGGTCCAACGGACACTTTTGGGATGGGCTAGCTATAAAAAGGAGGGGAAGACAAGAAGAAAGGGGGCATTTCACTCATTCATCTACATGTGGGAGGACTCTCCCAAATACTACCACTCACTATTCTTTCATCACCAAGAAGGCTCCATCACTCTCCCAAAGAGGATGCACTCGTCCACAACCACTCTCCACTCATCCAAGCAAGAAGATCACATGAAGAAGACTCCATATGGGAAGACCCCACCACTCTTCCACGCGTCAAGAAGCATACTCCATCTCCATGTACAAAGTATAGCTCTCTCCTTATACAATATTTCCATATCTCTATATACAAAATAGCCATACAACATGTACAAAGACACCTACAAAATACATAGTGGAGTTAGGCTTGGCACCGCCCAAAAAGGCCCGTGGTTTTCCTTTCGGTTTCCACGTACAAAAACATTGAGTTATATTTTTCTACTTATTTTTCTATAAGCCGCATGTGAAAGGTGAATCCACCGACCAAGGTTGTGTTGGACCTCCCTAGGCCCGAAAATCCTAAAACCAACAATTTATGTTAGGCATTCTGGAATCTCAATCCCATATTTTTCTTCCTCTTCTTGAATATCATATTCTTCTTCAGATTCTATTCCAGGTTAATGTTAGGACTTATTGAAACTATGGATTAATGGTGTTTTAGATTATTCTCCTGTAAAAAAAAAAAAAAAAAAAAAAAAAAAAAAAAAAAAGGATAGAACTAAAATTCTTAAATCCCTAATTAATTTCCCTATTATAGCCTATGTATCTGTGATATGTTGCTCCTCCAAGCTCTGTCAAATCCAATAGTCAACAACGAAGCCAAGCCCAAGCCCAACGAGTTTACGACGCCGCCCTCCCCTGCGAATCTGCAAAGAAGACGACAACGAGCGAAGAAGCTACAAGCCGCCGACGTCGACGCTGACCTTGACCCCTCACCTGCGAATTTGCAAAGAGGACGACAACGGACAATGAAGTTACAAGACGATGACGCCGTCGCCGACGCTTCCCCCCTTCCCTGCGAATCTGAAAAAAAAAAAAAAAAAAACGACAATGGACGACGAAGCTACAAGCTGCCGACACCGACCCCTCCGCTGCGAATCTGCAAAGAGGACGACAACAGACGACGATGGTACAAGCCGACGACGCCGACGCCGACGCCTCCCCCCTCCGCTGCGAATCTGTAAAGAAGACGAAAACGGACGCCGAAGCTAGAAACCGACGATGTCGACGCCTCAAGAAGAAAGCCGTGTGAGGTGCAGTGACTGTGAATTTTGATTTTTTGGATTGGTAATTTGTTATTGAGAATTTGACTTTAAGAATTGAATTGTTAAAAATGTAGAAATTATGATATACGGACTACTTTATTTGGGATCTGGTCTGTGTATATTCAACCAACCTCAAGAAGAGGAAACTCAGTAGAGGAAATGACCATTTTACCCCTTAACTTAACATCTATCTAACTTCAAGTTAACGGAAGGACTAATGGTGGAACAATTCTAATAGTCGAGGGTTTATTTTGTCCAAATTAAAAGATGAGGACTAAATTTGAAAAATCACAATAGTCAGAGGACTATTACTGGAATTAACTCTAAACCTCATATTAAACCCCTTATCCCTCTTCCGTTTTCTCAAACAAAACACCACCTCCCAATAATCACCCTATTTACTACCCATAAACACCCTACTTATTGCCATAAAATTAAATACCCACTAGCCATATTGACCTATAAAAGTTAAAGTAAGGATCAAAAGTAAAGGAAGCTTCATTCTTCCATTCTTACACGAGGGGGTTGCTACATTTGAGAGAAAAAGAAGACAGCTTCATCCTTAGATAGCAAAAACAATATACACGAGAGCCTCCATTTTTTACCACCAGAAAGCTCCTTACGAAATAGCCATACAACATGTACAAATCATAAAGCAAAATAGTAAATGATTTTTCCTTTCAGTTTCCATATACAAATCACAAATCATACAACTTGGCACCACCCAAAAAAACTCGCGATTTTTCCTTTCGATTTCCATGTAAAAATAATTGTGTCAAATTCTTTCTGTATTTATTTTTTATATTATATTTTCCGGTGATTCACCAACTTTCCCGGTTGTGTTGACTCTCGGTAGGCTTCCCAAAAGTCTAGAAACCAACTGTATGTATGGTTGTAAATATCTTCAGAGATGTATACTAATAGTTTATATTTTTGATGAGTTCTTTTTGGTATAATATTCCTCTGGTAGATGATGTAGTTGCGGTAACTAACGATACGATGTTGTTTGGTTTTACACTAAGCCTTGGAATGGATTTGAGTGTGGTGAAACCAATACATCAGAAGCCTGCCACAACCTTGCATTTTCTGTTAAACTGAACCCAAACTTGGAAGAAATAGAAATCTCGTTGCAATCTGCGAAGAATTTCCCGCTTTCATTTGCAAGCCTCGGATCAGTTGCAACATAACAAGTTGTCGATGCAGCCTATGAAAGCCATCATTATTAGGTAGTTAAATCCAAACACAAATAAAACAAAACAATGTAAAAATCATGTCACACATTACTTCAAATAAAATTTTACTATTCGAGAATAATTTTGTAATGTTTGTGTTACACCACAAGTTAGAAATTAAATATACAATAATATTTACCTGAGGGATCGTCTTCAAAAGCTTAGAAGCCAAAAAGAATGCTAAATCTACATGAAATAAAAATTTTAAATTCAATAAGAATTATAAGACAAAATTAACATGTGCTCAAAGTTAAAGTCTTAATAAAAATTTACTTGTATTTATATTGTATATATCAATTGAAATTTACGTACCGGTGAGGAACCCTTCACGTTCGCGATTGAGTCTAGTTTTCACAACCCCAGGGTGAACACAGTTCACCGTCACGTTTGCCTCCATTTGCTACAACATTATCAACGCAAAGGGGACATCCAAAAGGCCCAAAACATTAAAATTTCCATGTGCCCAGAAAAAATGTGGTTCTCAAAATAAAAAAGCAGCAAATTAAGGATACCCTACATTGTCGTAAGTCATAACTAGTACTACTCACTTTATTACAAATTTACAATGTAGTATATGTCCAGAACTTGGAACGTACATTATGTTGTGAGCACGTGCCCACCTTGCAAGTTGGGCATAATTCCATATCCATAATTTTTATACCGTAGATAAGTAGATTCATAATTTCTATACTGTAGATTCACATAATTTTCATACTGTAGATTCATAATTTCTAAACCGTAAATTCATTATTTAGTTCTCTGATTTGTGAAAACAAAGTTCAACTATTGGAATCGAAAGTATAAATTTCATGAATCTACAGTGTTGGTTTTAGGGTTTTTGGCCCCAGGGAGGTCCAACACAACCGTGGTTGGTGGATTCACCTTTCAAATATAGAAGTCAAAAAGTAATAGCTACAAGTGTATATGTATTCTTGGCCTGTTTCCACCGCTCCTTTTACAGGGTCCCCCTTTGGAAAATTAAAAGCTTTTACAATTAAGGGTCATAATAGACCTTCATTAACGAGGAAGCCGTTACTGGGCCTGCCCCAACGGCTTGTTTGACCGGGCCTTTTAATAGGTCTCTTAAATGCTAACGGCTACTTCTGGACTGACCTCCCACTCGCGCTGACCTCATGCTCGCTTGCCCAGAAGTCTGCTCGAGTCAGAGGACGGAGCGAGCATGAGGTCGGCGCGAGTGGGAGGTCAGCCCAGAAGTAGCCGTTAGCATTTAAAAGACCTATTAAAAAGGCCCGGGCAAACAAGCCGTTGGGGAGGCCCAGTAACGGCAGCCCAACGACTTCCTCGTTAATGAAGGTCCATATGGCCCTTAATTGTAAAAGCTTTCACTATTCTGTCGGATTGTTTGTACAAGTTATATGGCTATTTTGTATATAGAAATATTGTATAGGGAAAGAGCTATACTTTGTATATAGAGAGGGAGTCTTCCTCTTGATCTTCTTGTTGGGAGAATGGTAGAGTCTTCTTGCTTAGATGAGTGGAGAGTGGTTGTGGAAGAGTGCATTCTCTTTGGGAGAGTGATGGAGTCTTCTGGTGGGTGAGAGAATAGTAGGTGGTCTTCTCTTGTTGTGTTGTGGAATGGAGCCTTCTTGGGAGAGTGGTTGTGGAAGAGTGATATGTCTTTCTATGGGAGAAAGAATAGTAAGTAGGGGAATAGTGCTTGAGGGAGTGAATATGTGGTCTTCTCCGGCCATGTAGGTGAATGAGATGCCCCTCTCCTTGTGCTCTTCTTCTCCTTCTTATAGCTAGCCAACCAAATAGTGTCCCTTGGACCATTTAGTAGGGTATTGATGGGTATTGATTTGGTCATTAGTGGGTTGGTTATAGAAATTAGAAATAAGATAATCAATGGGGTAATAATTTTGGGGGTTAAGATGAGGTAGATAAATAGGGTAGTAAATAGGTTTCATGGGTGATAATGTAAGAATAACGGCTAGTCAATTTGGATTTTAGTAGGTAATTTGACCGGGTCTAGGTGGGCCAATCGGGGCTAAGTGGTCCAACTGGGGTCAAATATCGAGTAGCCATCATACAGTATAGAACTTATGAATTTACAGTATAAAAATTATGAATATGGAACTATACCCACCTTGCAAGATAGGCACGTGCTCACAGCATAATTTGCCCCAGAACTTGTGACCTCCTATTTAAGACAGTGTCACAAAAATTCTGCCTAGGCACCAATTAATTGACACCTAGCCACTAGCCGCTAGCCGACCGCCCAGCGTATCATCATAATCAGTAGTCTAAGTAACTTAATAATCCTAAATTGTTTTGAACAAAATAACCCTAAATTGTTCAAACTATGTGGTTAACATTTAATATTTTAACATTAACTATTAAAGTATTAAATAATTTATAATTATTATGGCTTAAAAATTAAACAAATTTTTAAAAACTAAAAAATAAAATAAAAAATACACGAACGACCGCCTAGGCACATTCAAAGAGCGTCTACTGATCTTTTTCAATTATGATTTAAGAAAGTCACATAAATATAATTGAGCAACAAACTCCTTGGCAAAGTGATAACTAATATTTATTTACGCAGTTTATGAAATCTGGGAAAATCAGAAACTTACTTTAAGCCTCTGAGCAAGTTCTTTGGTGTGCAGAAAGGTAGCCAGCTTCGATAGAGCGTACGCACGTGTCGGGTCGTAGAGACTGCCCCAAATGCCACAATCAAAGAAGTCACATTTCTCGGGGAAAAGATAGTCAAACATAAAAGCCCATTTCTTCTCGCCATTTAACTCACTTTAATACTCTCAGCTTTTTCCTTAATTGCAGCTGAATTTTATTTGTATTATATATAATAGTAAAAATTTGTCCAAAAAAATATATATAATAGTAAAAAAAAAAAGTTTAATCAATTATGACTTTGTTTGATAAATCTAATCAAAAAACTAGTTGAAATTTAAAAGCTGAATGATAGTTAATAAGTTAATTAATTAAAATTAAAGTATTTAAAAAATTAGTTATTGAATAAACTATGAGGTGTAAAAAACATAAAAATATAAACTGAAATATTATAATTTTGATTAATGAAAATTAAATGATACGGAGTATCATTTTTATAAATTAATAAGAATTGAAAAAGGTTAAAAATTTTAAAAGTTAATAACTTTTTTTTTTGAATGCTACTAGCTCTATTACATTGTAGTATCTGTTCATTTTAAAAGTTAATAACTTAATTCAAAATAAGCTACTAATCTCAATTTATAATTTATTTGCTCTTAAAATAAACTCTAGTCTATGTCATACTCTTCCGTCATTCCTATCAACTTATCTAAAATATTTTTGAATTAAGTAAAATTTTGCTCAATTTTATCCTGATATAAATAAGATAACTAAATTCAATAAAATAAATTTTAAGCATCAAAAATAAATTTACAATCATTATTGGGATAAATAAATTAAATTGTATATAACTGATCGATTCATAAAAATTTTGTATGATAAAAGGATCATTTTGGATGAATTATGGACTAGTCAGTTGGATATTAAGTCTTCAAAATTAAAAGCAAAATTAGAAGAAATTAAAATTAAATCACCTTGGGTCCTTGCTTACATCTCGGAAGTAAGCGATAATGTCGTCGGGAAACCAGTTGTAGATGCCGGAGGACACATTCACGATTCTCCCTTGAATGCCGGATGATTTCGCCGTCTCCGTCATCTTGCCGAGCAGTAGCTTCGTTAGTAGGAAATGGCCTAGATAGTTAGTGGCGAAACTCATCTCGATGCCGTCCTCTGAAACTGAATGCTTGTACGCGAATTTTCCAGCATTGTTTCTAAATCAGAACAATTTTCGATCGAGACGGAGGAGATCAGAGAAATAGTATTTGAGTTTTAACGACGGACGAGAAGTCGATAATGCATTGACGTACATGAGGAGATTGAGAGGCAGATGGAGAGATTCGAACTCTGCAACAAACCTCCGTACAGAAGCGAGAGAACTAAGATCGAGCGGCATCACGACGATCTCCGCGCCCGGCGACTCCGACAGAATACGAGCCTTCGTCTCCTCGGCGGCCTTCACGCTCCGAGCCGGAAGCACCAGGCGTGCTCCGCGCTTGGCCAACACACGAGCCGTCTCCGCTCCGATTCCCGACGTCGCACCTGCACGTACACACGCAACGACACGTCATCATCAGCAACCGTTTCCTGACTTTTCTCCGACGATAGAAACCTCCGCTCTACCTACCAGTGATGATGGCGGTGACGGAGCACAGACGAGGACTCATCTCGGTAACCTCCTCGGCGGTCGATTTGGAGCCGAAGCCGCTGGGGCCGGCGGAGCCGATAAGGTATTTGACTGTTTCGAGCATATTTTCTTTCAATTCAGCGGAAAAACGGTCCTCACTCGTCAGAGATATTATGCTATTGGTTATTAATTATTGATGGTGACGGCATAGAGTAGCGATGATAGCAACAGAGCAAAACCCTACAAGTCAACTTGGAATAGCCCCACACTGTGGGGATGATTATGCGCAGTTTGACACTATATTTTTGCAGTGAATCGAAGAACAGAGGCTTAAAAAGGGGAAACAGTAGGGCGGCCTGCCCCTCTTCACAGCGCTTTGTACTGTTACAGAGATAAAACTGTAGCTTGCTTCCGGCGCACAGAGATCACGACTGAGACGGGCCTCTTTTTGTTACGGGAGAGCGGAGATATAGTTTGAATTTGGTTGAGGGTTGTCTCGTTGCGAGATTACGATGTTTCGTTCTTAATTTAGGTGATTTTTTAATTTTGTCATATTTTTGCTTTGATTTTTCTGATTTTGTCATTCCTTATTTCCTTATATAATATATTTCCATATAAAGACAAATTTACCTTTAAAAACTTTTAATTTTCCAAAAATGGGGATGATTATGCGCAGTTCGAGCCTCCAAAAATAAATTTAAGAATGGTCCTTTGATTATTGACATTTATCAATATTTATATTATTTGACTTTAAATTGGATCATAAATAGTTTAATATGATCATAAATATTACGGAGTAATTTTTTTTTTTCAAAATAGTCTCTCGACTACTGCTCATTCTCAATTTCACATTTCGACTTTCAATTGCACCAAATGTGGTCCATCAACTTTCAAAAACTCACCCAATTTAGTCCTCTGTTAAATTTTTCTTCTACTCAGTGTTAAAATTAAGGGCATTTTCGTCCGTTTACCTATTATTATATGCCTAATATACGTTGAGAAGCCATTTTGGGAATAGTCGATGGACCATTTTGAAAAAAAATTCTTTTATTTATTTCATTTTTGTTTATTTTCATTTTTAAACTCAATTAAATTAAAATTTCTATAGATTTTTTTCCGTACAAATATAATAGATAAAATCCCACAATCCAACCTCAGAATTTTAAACTTTCTCTACAATTTTTTTTTTTTTAAACATACAAAGTTTTCCTCTATCCCTATCAAATTTTACAATAAGTTTCTTAACTTTCATAAATACTCATATACTTTTTATTTTTCTCTTTTTTTTTTTTTTGTTCAATAAGCAATCAATCATTATGTATCACAATAAATATTATTTTTATCGTTGAAATTAACATTTTTATTTTCATTTTTACATACCTTGGTAAAAAAGTTTTGCTTTCTAAATTAAGTTTATAAATATTCATATATAAAATACAAACAAACTTCAAAATAATAAGAACATGTAATTTTGGTAAAGGATCGGGCTTTAGGTTTATGATTGTTTGTTGTTGGGAATTCCATTGGTGAAAACAAATAATAATCCTATAAAATAAGATTATTATTTTCTGTAGTAGGAGGGAAGGAAAGATGAAGAGATTGGCTAGTGTTTGGTGTAGGGTTTTTAGCAAGAGTCAAGTGATCACTTTTTCCTTAAAACCTTATTTGCTATCTCCCACAAGTGCTAGGAGCGTTGTAGCCTAGGCTTCCCAGGAAAAAACTTGCTACGATTCAATGTTTGAGCACCCAAATAAGGAATCCGGCGAACTAGAGCAAGATTTGAGGCTAAAAAAATTATACTTTATTGTTGTGTATAAAATTCTACTGCCCAACTCCTTATATAGGAGTGAGAGATTAAATAACTTTTAATAGGCACTTAAGGGCACCCCTCCATCTTCCTGTAACAGCAACCATTAACAAGGGTTTCAATTCAAAAATTAAAATTGAAATTAATTCAAAAAATTAACTCCGTAATAGTTGAATTGACTCCAGCTTTCGGGTAGGAGCCGGCGCGCACATGAGATTAGGCTTAAGCTAAGCCTTTTCGATCTCATTTTAGAATTTGATTTACACCCCCCAACCCCCTCCTGCGTGTGAGAGAAAGCATCTATGTTATACAATTCAATAAACCTTAAAAGAGATCTTGTATAAATAGTGGGACAAATCCTCTTCCCAAATCAATGTGGGACAAAAGTTCACTTTTTCCCTTCATTTTTTCCAACTCAATGGGTCTACTTTGAGAATCAATATCTCATTCACCCATTATTCGTTTTGAGCGTACAATATATCAATCTCTTTGTCTCACTACGAAGAATACGAATCCACTTTGACCCGACCTAAATCGGAAGTGGACCCCACTGATAATTGTACCACAAAATAGCCACTTAACATGTAATTTTAAGCTATTTTTCCAACAATCCCCACATGAATTAAAAATTGATTTTTAGGGTATTTTAAAATCGGAACAACTGTGTTCAAATGGTCGATCCCTGCATAGGATAGGTAGGGGGTACCGCACCGTTTGAACCTTCCCTTATGAAGATATGTTTACTCTACTGGCTGTACAGTAGAACACGATGTATTTGAACCGACTGCCGTTTGTGTAGACGATGACATATCTCACACAGAAACCTCCCAACCATGCTCTGTTCTCATGAGTGTGCCCATTTTGGCCGTGGGTCACTGTTCCTGGTTCTGCGAGAGTTTCTAAAGAATTGTTGCCCATTAATTCTCCTTTGAAGCGACCCTCACTTCTCTCTTACATAGGTGATTCTTTCTCGAGTATCCCGCATACTCACACATGTCAACCGACATTCGAATCATTAAAGCATCAACATGCTAGCCTCGTGCGGGAGTCACTGTTTTTTAACGAGGAGTGGTAGGGAGTCCGAGACCTCCCACAATGACGCGCTCTGTTCCATAATTTAGATGTCCCATTGAACCTAGGTGCCAGCTAGGTTGGGTATCCACTATAGAACTTTTTAGTCCAAGGGCATTAGACCCATTCCTCGTGCCAACTTCTCCACAACTTCTTTGCCTAACCCTTTGGTCAGCGGATCCGCTATATTGTCTTTTGACTTTACGTAGTCAATCGAGACAACACCAGTTGTGAGCAGTTGTCTAATGGTATTATGTCTCCGACGCATATGTCTAGACTTACCATTATACATATGACTCTGTACTCTCCCAATTGTGGCTTGACTGTCGCAATTCACACATATTGGAGCTACTGGTCTTTCCCAATTAGGAATATCCTCTAGAAAATGGCGTAGCCATTCAGCCTCTTCATAACCTGTGTCCAAGGCTATTAGCTCAGATTCCATCGTGGATCTAGCTATCACAGTTTGCTTAGAGGATTTCTATGCAACGGCTACACCGACTAGTGTAAACACGTGTCACTCGTGGACTTAGAGTCCTTAATATCAGATATCCAGTTCGCGTCGCTATACCCTTCAAGTACAGTGAGATATCTCCCGTAGTGCAGTCCAAGATCACGAGTATACCTCAAGTATCTCATAACCTTTACTATTGCCTTCCAGTGCATAGCTGTAACACCCCCGATTTCCATACCGATTTAAAACTTAATCAAGCAGATAATCTAACCATAAAAGCATACACAGCGGAAGACTAGATATGAAATAGATGGAAAGCGTAGAGTGTTATGCCACGCCCACACTATGGTGAACGCACAGGCGTAAACAACATCAACATAATCTGTCTACAAAGGTAAGGTCAAACGACAACAAGTCTAAAATCCAGCATAGGCACACAGGCCAAAACAACTACTAGGTATAAGAGATCTATGCTAGCCATCACTAGACTGCGCTCGTCTTTACTCGGAACCTGAAAGAAACACATAAATATATGGGACGACGCCCGGTCAGCGAATGATGCTGGTAACCCACCAATACATGTGAAATATCATACATAGATAGGATATATATACAAAATCATTTGCGAAACAGAATATAGTATATATAAGTTCAAAGCCAAGATATAAGTCAATCACAAGACTCAATACACTCACAACGAAGACAAGGGAACACATCCCAAGACCACATGAAGTACTACGACACACAAGAACGGCTCAAGATGTATTATGCCATCACTCAGTAGAATAACACCCGACATGCATAACACAAGAGAATAAGAGACACACAATGGCAACACATGCCTTCGTGACATCACTCGTCACGAATATAGAATTACACAACAATGGCCACACATGCCTTCGTGACATCACCCATCACGAATTGAGATGCCTTCCTTATGCCCGGTTCCAACCTTATGGCTACCCCCCACCTTATGTCTAATTCCAACCTTTACCTCCAGGACCCCTGTACACCAAGTCCAACCTTTTCCCTCCGAGGACCGTCGTCCCCATCCACCAACAAATTTCACCAATTCATAGTACACGAGGGTACCGATCACACACATGGCAACACATGCCTCCCAAGAAAATACGTGAACCCATCACTCGGGTCACATCCTCCATAATCACGTCATGGACACCACGAGGACCACTGCCGTACCTTAGTGACTAATGTCCCATACCATTAATCATGCAATCCAGGTACAGCCACACACACCACACCACAATAGGAATCAATCAATGGATCACAACGAAGATATGAAACCATACTCAACAAGGAAAGGACCACAATCCGACAAGAACGATGATTAACACAAGTCATCATCCACAATAGGAAGGGACAAACAACACACACACTAGCATTTAAACACCGAACTAGCATGCTTATCAAACGGGTAAACCAAACATCATTCCGAAGAACACACAAGACTCATCATGGTTCAACGAATCACAAGGTTGAACACTTAGCATGATTCAAGACACCAAAACCTACATGGAATCCTACCATATAGTTCTAGACATACGAAACATCAAGAAGACGCTCAAATAGTTCCACAAAAGAACATCGGGAAGTCAAAAGACCAAATACCGAGTCAAAAGAATCACGGGGAACAAATCCACGCCCAAGCCACACATGTACCCCGCGGGTGGGGCCACGGGTGGACCCCCACCCGTGGTTCCGCCCGCGGGAACCAACATCTCCCGTAATCCGAATTGAGGTACTGGTCTTTCCTAATTAGGAATATCCTCTAGAAAATGGCGTAGCCATTCAGCCTCTTCACAACCTTTGTCCAAGGCTATCAGCTCAGATTCCATCGTGGATCTATCTATCACAGTTTGCTTAAAGGATTTCCATGCAACATCTGCACCGCCTAGTGTAAACACGTAGCCACTCGTGGACTTAGAGTCCTTAATATCAGATATCCAGTTCGCGTCGCTATACCCTTCAAGTATAATGGGATATCTCTCGTAGTGCAGTCCAAGATCACGAGTATACCTCAAGTATCTCATAACCTTTACTATTGCCTTCCAGTGCATAGCACCGGGGTTACTCGTATATCTACTGAGTTTAGTAA